GAGCATCCTTCCAGCCCTGCTTTTCCACGGTTTTGTGATTCATACTGGGAGAAGCAAGGATTTCTAACAGCAATGTCTCTGACTGGACCACCTGCGTAGTTGGGGTAGTGTTAGACAGGATTTCAAATGAAACAGTCAGTGTCTAATCTTGGCTCAACCATGAATTTTTTGGGAAGTTTGAGATGAAGGGGGAAGATGACAACTACATAATCTGGTAACATGGATATTTGCGGGCTCCTTCTGACCCAAAGTGAGCTGACAGCACAACTGCTGTTATAACACTGTCTGATGCTTCCTATTTTATGGGGCACAACTTCAAACTTTGGCTATTTAGGCTGAAATTCTGCATACTGGTTGCTAACCGCAGGCTGAATCATTCTGAAAGTTTTCAGACAAGGAGGTTCAGCCATTTCCAAGAAAAAGTGGAAAGAAAAATATATTTTGCCCATTTTAAAATAACCTGATGACATTAGTTTTGAGAAGCTCTAGCACTGCCATACTTTTGAACAGGAACTTGGCATTTGGTACATGGGTGGCCTTTACATCAAAAAAGTGCCTTTTGCTGCCCTGTGAAAACCCACCCAAATCTGGTCAATCTATAAATCCTTTGGGGGAAAGGGCTAAAACTGCCCTTCACAGTGGCTTAGTGATTTTCACAGCTAAATCCCAAAAAAGATTTCAACTGCATTTAGCAGGGTCTAATCTGGGGTTTTTAACATAATTAAGCTGCAGGCTGCCATTAATGGAGACAGGGTCTTGTGCAACACAGTCTCTCATTTCACATCTGCATAATGATACAGTGTTTAAAATACATAATCACATACTATTATTTCCTAATGATCCTAGACTCATTTAGCATGCAATTAGCAAGGCAGCTGAGCACCTGTACTCTTGTTTCCACTACTACTAAACAGAGACCCCTCACCTTACTCAATATACATAGTGTCCAAATCTAACAGCTGGAGCTGGTCCTACTTTGAGCAGGGGGCTGGACCAGATGTCCCTTCCAGCCCTCATTTTCTATTATTTACCCATTTACACACAGGCACATTCAAAGTAAGATCCATTTGCTTCTATGCAATTTTGACAATTTAGGTCTCAAAGCAGCCATAACCCCACAGGACCACTTTTTCATTCTTTTGGAAGCCAAGCCTCATCCCCCTTCTAACCGGTACTGAGAATGAGACCGGGAGCCTGTGCAAAGAAGGGTGCGCAGTCACGTCCTTCACCATGCAGATACAGAACGGGCAGAGGTAAAGTTAAAACATTAACGCTACAGTTTATCAACTTTTCAATGTTAAAAGTTACACTAGGACTACAAACTGGAACAGATTATGTATCGATTTAGAAAGGAGACAGTCTCTTTGTGCAGAAAAAGGGAATCGTCTTGCAACAACCAAAATGTTCATGTATCAAATGAAGCAAGAGGAGACATGTGGAAGGGCAGCCGGGCGTCTGACGCAGGCGAGTAGGAGGCACGAAGAGAGAACCAGGTACCTCACGCTGGAGAAGACGTGCATACGGACTGCAGCCCATCTCCACCGCACAACGCTGGGCTGTTCCCATGGGAGAGGGACGCACGCAGGAGAAACTGGAAACGTCACCACGTTCAGATCCTAACCCTGAGGGTCTGTGCAGCATCTGCAAGTCGTAACAGGCACCTTTGCGCTCCTGTTACTTCAGGAGAAAGGCTCTAGAAAGAGCCCAGGTGGCATTCAAGGGACCGGAAGGGGCCAGGTGAGAGAGTATAAGCCCGGGCCCCAGCTGGGGCAGGTATGGGAGGAAGAGCTCCCACCCGGGAGGGCAGCAGAGGAGCCCCTGACTCGCACCAGGGATACGCTCGGGTCTGGGAGTAGGGCAGGCAAGAAGAGTATTGTGGACCTGCCTGGAAAACACTGGTGGTTTGGGCCTGGGAGCGGGGGTGGTGGAGGGGCCAGAGCCCAGGAACAGGGCCGAGGAAGAACTAGAGCTGGGGCTGGGGCTGGGACTGGCGAGAGCCCAGCCCCAGAGAGGGCAGAGGCAGGGCTAGAGAGCCCGGGAGCAGGGCCTGAACTGAGTCATCACTGGTAACATGCGCGAGGCCTGGGTGCAGCTAGGAGGTGAGGAGGCCAGGAACTCAGCCCTCGAGGTGCTGCATGAGCAGGGAGAGGTAGCTGGTGAAGGGGGATCCCCAGGCAGCCTCCCTTCCTGGGCTGGCACCTGGATCAAGGCCTGGCAGGCGAGCAGGGAAGCAGGCCCCAAGGCCTGGGGGAAGCCAAGGCCGAGCACCCGGGGCGGGGCGGCACGGCACGGCACGGCACGGCACGGCCACCCCCACACGCCCGGCACAGGCTGCAGACGCCCCACGCAGGGCTCGGCGCTCCCACCCAACGCACGAGCAGCCCCCGCGCCAGGGCTGAAGCGGCCCAACGCGCAGCTCCTCTTGGCTGCCCG